GTCAAGAAATACAGAAAAAAATGTATAAAATATGTATAGATAATCTCTTTTACTACTGTAAAATATAGGCAAGTCTATTATAAAAGTTAAGATTTATTAAAACTTACGTACACAGGTTGCATGTAATGTCATTTGTGGTCAAAAGCAATGTAAACAAATAAAAGTAGTATTAAATCTTAACTACATAAATTAACTGTAATAAACTACTGTAATAATTTTCATATCCTCTTGCTGCTATTGTGAGCTCAAATGTTGTGAGGCATTTATCATTGCAGGTGAGCATTTCAACTCTGCAGTAAATTGTGTATCACAATATGTTAATTAGTTGTTGATATTATCGGTAAGGATTCTGGTCGAAGCAGAGTGTAGGGGGCTGGAGGTGTGGCTGACGTGGTAAAGCATCTGCCTAGCAAGTGCTCAAGGCCCTGAGTTCAAACCCCAATACCACTAAAACAAAGTTATATGTAGGGCTGAGAATGTAGCTCAGTGTAGAGCACTTGCCTATCATGCATGAGTTGTTTGGTTTAATCCCTACCATTCCCTCCTCCCCACCAAAAAAGTTATATGTGGAGTTTGATCGCTAGTGGTAACAGTGTACACCCTAGAGTGCCTAGAGCAGCCCCAGCGCTAGCCTAGTTACCTTCACACCCTACAAGGACCTGCAGTTGCCACAGCCAGTCACCAACAAGCAACAATGAGCAGCAAGACCAAGACTCAGCAGCCACTTAAGGCTCCTGCCACCTGAATCTGTGTTGCTGACTCTAAGCCCTGTTCCACAGACAGTGGTGGCACCTGCTGGCTGAGACAAGAAGCTCATTGCAGCAAAGGTTTGGGGAGCCATAAAGTGGTTCAATGGAAGAAATGGATATGGTTTTATCAATGGGAATTCATTAAGGAAGATATATTTGTACACCAGACCACCAGAGAGAAGAACTACCCTAGGAAGAGCCTTTGTAATTTAGAAGATGGAAAGTCTAGTGTTAAAAGACAAGAGGGTGCAGAGACACAAATGCTGTAAGCTGTGTGGAGTTCCAACTCAAGGGAGTAAATAAGCAGTGTTGTAAGCATTATAGATGCTCTTCATATCACAGTGATCCTCCATGTAATTCCCATCAGAAACATAGGTAGTGGCTGGGGTGTGGCTCAACTGCTGGAGGTCCTGAGTTCAGTCCCCCCACCCATAAAAAAAAAATCCACTAAAGTTGAATGTGAGGATCGAGGATTGGAGAGTGTTCCCAAGGGCCAGGTGTAACAATGCTGACCCTACTGCTAGCAAAGTTTCCCTCCTTACTGCATGCAGAGACCCTATATAGGTATCAGGCACAGTATTTTGACCCTCGGGTGCAAGGAGAAGGCTACTCAACCAGAGTGCTGGAGAACAAGGTAGACCAATGAGAGAATCTTATAAGATTGTAGACCATAATTTTCCAGGGGCCCTCCTTGCCAAAGACAGCCTAGAGAGGACAAGGAAAATAAAGGAGCTAAGACCCAAGGTCTCAGTCATCTCAATGTTGGTACTGCCACAATGTTAGTCACCTCCATAGTTATCCAGGAAATACTAACCCACTGATCCTCCAGCTAAGAATCTGTCCACTCCTGCGGCTGAGTAAATGTTAGCTTTCCATGTGTACAAATCATCTGGTTATTCAACAAGAAGAAATGAATGTGAAATTCTAGCAGTAAGAAATGATTAAAAAATTGGAGCTGAAGACTGTAAGTGCTTGCTTTGTGGCCAGATAGCTAGAACATCTGTGTTATCTGAGCACTATAATGCTTTATTATTTTTACCTAAAGACATCTCTTTTTGGTAATGACAAACATGCTTTGAAAAAAAAAAAAAGCCAGGTTTTTCTCAGTATACTTTTTTTTTTTTTTTTTTTTTACAGTACTGGAGTTTGAACTTAGGACCTTGTGCTTGCTGAAGCAGGTGCTCTGCCACTTGAGGCATAACACCAGCCCTTTTTTGCTTTAGTTATTTTTTTTGGATATGGTCTTATGTTTTTGCCCAGGGCTGGCCTCAGACCTCAATCCTCCAACCTTCCACATAGCTGGGATTATATATATATATGCACCACCACACTCAACTTCTTAGTTGAAATGAAGTCTTGCTAACTTTTTGCCTAGGCTGCCTCAAACTGTATTCCTTCTGTTCTCTACCTTTTGTAGAGATTAAAAATTAAAAATTAAAAATTTTGTATAGCTGGGGTTACAGGTATGAGCCACCATGCCTGGCCCTCAACATACCTTTAAAGGTTTTTAAATTGTGTCTTATTTGGTCAAGTTGAGATTTTTAATTTATGATAAAAGTCTACAACTTGATTTTTTAAAAAACACCCACCAAATTGCAAGCCCCAGTTAATAAAGGTTTTAAATGATTAAAATAACAAATCACATATGGATTTGCAACTGTCTGTGGGTTGGCACCCCTAATTCCCACTTTGTTCAAAGGTCAGCTGTACTAGCATACATTCATCAAAATGGCTAAAATGTGAAAGACAACTTCAAGTGTTGGTGAGGGTGTGGAACAACAAACTGAAGTACCACTGATAGGACAGAGATTGGTACTACAGCTTAGAAAAGTTGTTTTGGTGTCTCTTGAATGGATTAATACTCTTTGACCCAATATCACTCCTATACCAGACCAAAATGTATGCACTTATGCACCAAAAGATATCCCTAAGAATGGTTATTGAATCATTATTTGCAATTCCTGAAAACTGGAAACAACCTAGATTAGCTATGGTGTGGTATCTCAGAGCCAAATGAGGTGTATTAGATAGGAAGCAGCAACTCTGTCAAATGCTGTTGGGATTTCCAGTTAGATGAAAAGTGAACTCCTCTATTGGGCTTGTAGGATGCAGGGAGGGCATTTGAGGAGAATTAAGAATTGAAATAAAGTGTTATATTGGGGAATGAGTTGGTTTAAGCACTGGTTAGTACAGGAAAACTTGAAGGTCTGGAGTCTGTTTAGTATAGCAAAGGCATACCTGCTAAAATTAATAGGCCGAGTATGATATTAAATTTCAGACATTTTAAGGGGGAGTGTTACAAGTGCTATGTCCTTTGATGTAAGACACACAAAACTTAGTGTGAACTGCCAGTGGGCGTCCACATCCAGAGCAACATGGATCAGCATTATGTTCTAAGATCTCCAAGTCAGGTGGCTCAGATTTTCCTAGGCTTCATCTTTGTGAAGGGCTTTTAAATGGACTCTTGGCGATACTTGTGTCAGTGATCTGTTCTCAGAACTTTTTTGTTAAAAACTTTTTACTAACATATTGGGGTCTTTTATTTCATTCATTATTTGGTTAACCCAGGCTAAAACAAAAATGTATTATGTAATATAAAATAGAGTACTGAATTAGTGAATATAGGATCTATAACTTCTATATGAAAGACTGTAGACTGCAGGAGGCAAAGAGAAACTGGTCTCTTGTAAAGGAATGAGGATTCCCAAGGCTGTATTGGAATGCTAGTTAGGACGAGCAGTGCTAGGAGAAAAACCACAGAGAGTATTGCCTTAAGTATATACTGGAAACCAAAGGAATAAAATAGCTTGTATTGTGCGAAGCTAAGCATCACAAGATGTAGGTCAGCTGTAACTGAAAATCTGATAAAGAGACATTTTTTAATTGAAAAGAGCAGAGATTTGCTCAAACAGATCCACAAGAGAGAATGGGGCAGTTGTTAGACAAGAGCATGGGTCAAATGGGAATCCAAAAGACAAAAGAACATAGCTTACCTTCCTGCACACTGAACTGCAGGTGTGGACTAAAGGTGAATGTTAAGTAGCATTTGGCAATTTTTCTCTCCAGCTGTTTCTGCTTCTTTTGTGTGCTTTGTTCTCTGTGTTGTGCAGACTGCAGCCTTCTCAGACTTTTTTGTCTCTACCCCAATGAAATTTTAGCTTTTACTTGGCTGCAGTGTTATGCATATTATAATGTATGAAATATGTATAAATAGTTGTACACATTTGTTCAAATATTGCTAATACGCAGGGAAAAATATGAAAGGTTACTTACCAAATTGATAATAACTGTGTACCTTTGGGGAGAAAACCCCAAGACTAGGATTGAGAGAGAAATGAAACCTTTCATATTTAGTGAACACTTACAGAACTCTTATTGAGGGCTTGACATTGTTCCAAATACTGCACATGTTTTAACTCACTTAACTCTGATGTCAAAGGCAGAGTACTGGTTAAACAGGATTAAGAATGAGAAGAACTAAACAATAAAAAGTCCTCAATAATGTGAAAAGACTATCATACAAGCAATTTTAATGACAGCAACTGACTTGAACTTGGATACTTCATCTTCAAGTGTACTTCCTATTTATGATATGTCTGTTAATGTCATATGACTATTGTATTTGTCCTTTTTAGTGACATTTAAGTTTGAGATAGACTTTCAGCCAAATCTTTTGGTGACCAATTTTAAGAGTTTTATAATTGGCCTCATTAAGTATTATGTGTGAAAAAAACTAATGTTGCTAATTTTATTTGATGAAATATGTAAGTAAATAAAATACATTTATTTTCAAAATTACTCAATAAACTGGAATAAATTTTTGTGCTTTTTTAAATTATTGGTGTCACTCTGGTTTTAGGAAGAGTCAGTTATTTTGTACATTTTAATGGGTTTCATCATGACATTTTTTATACATGTATAGAATGTGCTTGGGTCATCCTCACCCCTCCCCAGTACCCTCTATTATGCTGCATCTATTTGGAAATGTGAGAACTAGGTCAGAATCAAGAAACATAATACCGATGGAAACCTCTCATTTAAAATAAGTCAATTTTAGATATCGGGTTCCCTTATGTGTTTTGTCCTAAAAATTCATTTGAAATTGTATGGCTAAGGACTTTCCTCTGACCTGTACCCTGAATCATATTCCTGTGGAATATAAAAATAATTTACTTGCTTTGTAATATTTGAGGGTTTATGCTTTTAATTTTTACAATATTTTGAACTAAGATCTTTTCCTTATTTCCCTAGGGAGTTGGTGTCTCAGTTCACGGTCAGTTCCGAGTGGCTACCGAAAGGACCCTGTTTGCAATGCCAGAAACAGGAATAGGTAAAAAATAACCAGAAAGTTTTTATAATTACTTTTGAATCATCTTCTTTTGATATATTTCAGATTATACCGCAGTTGTTGAAGGATTCAGTGGAATCTTGTGTGAGATATAACAATGAAAGAACTTTTATTTTTATTTATTTATTTATTTATTTATTTTGTGGCATTGGGGTTTGAACTCAGGGCCTCACCCTTGCTAGGTAAGTGCTCTACCACTTGAGCCACTCCCCGAGCTCATGAAAGAACTTTAAAAAAAAACAAATTAAGCAGGAAGGTACCTAAAAGTTTATATTAGCTCAGTCATTATGTCAAAACACCAAAGCAAGAATATTTAACTACAAACACTAATACCTTGTAGTGAATTTTAGATAAAGGATTATTAAGGAAAATTTTCTGACATATTTAGCTCTGTGACCCATTTAAAGTTAATCTTCACATATCATGGGTATAGATTGAAGCTTATTATTTTGTGTATGGAAATCCAGTTGTGCCAGTACCATATGTTGAAAAGGCTCTTGTTTACTCACTGAATTGCCTTGTACCTCTGACAGGTGTCTGTACTATGTGTGCCGATCCTGTGCCAATGTCATATTGTCATATTGTCTTGATTGTTGTTGCCTTATAATAATTTTTGAAATTAGGTAATGATAATCTTCCAAATTTGTTTTTTCTCCCCCCAAGTTGTTTTAGCTGTCTAGGTCCTTTGTATTTGTACATGAAATTTGTCAATTTAAAAAAAAAAAAGTCTTCTGTTGTTGTATTTGGATTGTCTAGAATCTGCAGATGGATAGATGTCAACCTAGAATTGACATCTTAACAATATTATGTCTTCAGACCTTTCAAGCCAGGTATATTTCTTTCAGTTGCTTAAGTCATCTTTATAGGTCTTATACATATTTTTGTGAGATTTATCCATATTTCATGTTTTTTGATATTATTAAACCTTCTGACTTAGGCAAAAGCATTCAGTCTTCTACCAACTAGTTACTACGTTTAGGTTTCTAATAGCACCCTTTATCAAGGGGAGGAAGTTTCTACTCCTGTGTTGCTGAGGAATGGTGTTTGGATTTTGTCAAAACTTTTTTCTGCATCTATGAGTTGATCATTGGTTTTCCTTTGTAGCTTGCCTAATGGTTAATTACTTTTTTCAACATGAAAATATTCTTCATTGCTAGGAAATGTCTGATTCTGATATGATGTGGTATCCTTTTTATATGTTTCTTTTCCTTTATATGTTATTGTGTTTGATTTATTAAAATTTCATTTGGAACTTTTACATCTTTGTTAATGAGAGATTTGGTTTGCAGTTTTCTTGGAATGTTCAGAGTAATGCTGACTTCATTTTCTGGAAGAGTTCATGAAGAAATGGGATCATTTTTCTGTAAATGTTTGGTAGAATTCATCAGTGAGGCCCTCCAGGCTGGGAGTTTTCTTTTCTTGGTAGTACTGGGGTTTGAACTCAGGTCCTCATGCTTGCTAGGCAGATGCACTACAGCTACTTCATTAGCCCTTTCAGGAAGGTTTTTACTTAAAATTCAGTCTTTAATAGATAAACAGCTATTCAAGTTACCTATTTGTTCTTACATCAACTTGGTAGGTTGGGTCTTTCAAGGAATTTGTCCAATTGTTAGCATAAAATTCATAATATTTCCTTTTTATCTTTCTAATCTCTTTAGAATCTGAATGATGTCTGGCTCTCATTTTTGGGGGGGAGGGGCTTTATCATTCAGTATCTTATATTTATTTATTTTTAAAATTTTTATTTTATTCATATGTGCATACAATGTTTGGGTCATTTCTCCCCACATCCCCCACCACCTCCTTTACCCCCCCACCGCCCCACCCCCTCGCTACCCGAAAGAAACTATTTTGCCCTTATCTCTAATTTTGTTGAAGAGAGAGTATAAGCAATAATAGGAAGGAACAAGGGTTTTTTTGCTAGTTGAGATAAGGATAGCAGGGAGTTGACTCGCATTGATTTCCTGTGCATGTGTGTTACCTTCTAAGTTAATTCTTCTTGAACTAACATTTTCTCTAGTTCCTGGTCCCTAACTCCTATTGACCTCAGTTGCATTAAAGTATCTGCTTTAGTTTTTCTATGTTGAGGGCAACAAATGCTGTCTAATTTTTTGGGTCTTACCTATCCTCATACCTCCCTTGTGTGCTCTTGCTTTATCATGTGATCAAAGTCCAATCCCCTTCTTGTGTTTGCCCTTGATCTAATGTCCGCTGTGAGGGAGAACATATGATTTTTGGTCTTTTGGGCCAGGCTAACCTCACTCAGTGATTTCTTCAATTCCATCCATTTACCTGCGAATGATAAGACTTCATTCTTCTTCATGGCTGCATAAAATTCCATTGTGTATAGATACCACATTTTCTTAATCCATTCATCAGTGGTGGGGCATCTTGGCTGTTTCCATAACTTGGCTATTGTGAATAGTGCTGCAATAAACATGGGTGTGCAGGTGCCTCTGGAGTAACCTGTGTCACAGTCTTTTGGGTATATCCCCAAGAGTGGTATGCTGGATCAATGGTAGATCAATGTTTAGCTTTTTAAGTAGCCTCCAAATTTTTTTCCAGAGTGGTTGTACTAGTTTACATTCCCACCAGCAGTGTAAGAGGGTTCCTTTTTCCCCGCATCCTCGCCAACACCTGTTGTTGGTGGTGTTGCTAATGATGGCTATTCTAACAGGGGTGAGGTGGAATCTTAGTGTGGTTTTAATTTGCATTTCCTTTATTGAGATGGTGAGCATTTTTTCATGTGTTTTTGGCCATTTGAATTTCTTCTTTTGAGAAAGTTCTGTTTAGTTCACTTGCCCATTTCTTTATTGGTTCATTAATTTTGGGAGAATTTAGTTTTTTAAGTTCCCTATATATTCTGGTTATCAGTCCTTTGTCTGATGTGTTGGCAAATATTTTCTCCCACTCTGTGGGTGTCTCTTCAGTTTAGAGACCATTTCTTTTGATGAGCAGAAGCTTTTTAGTTTTATGAGTCCCATTTATCTATGCTATCTCTTAGTTGCTGTGCTGCTGGGGTTCCATTGAGAAAGTTCTTACCTATACCTACTAATCCAGAGTATTTCCTACTCTTTCCTGTACAACTTTAGAGTTTGGGGTCTGATATTAAGATCCTTGATCCATTTTGAGTTAATATTGGTATAGGGTGATATACATGGATCTAGTTTCAGTTTTTTGCAGACTGCTAACCAGTTTTCCCAGCAGTTTTTGTTGAAGAGGCTGCTTTTCTCCATCGTATATTTTTAGCTCCTTTGTCAAAGACAAGTTGGTTATAGTTGTGTGGCTTCATATCTGGGTCCTCTATTCTGTTCCACTGGTCTTCATGTCTGTTTTTGTGCCAGTACCATGCTGTTTTTATTGTTATTGCTTTGTAATATAGTTTGAAGTCAGGTATTGTGATACCTCCATGTTGTTCTTTTGACTGAGTATTGCCTTGGCTATTCGTGGCCTCTTGTGTTTCCATATAAATTTAACGTAGATTTTTCAATCTCTTTAATGAATGTCATTGGAATTTTGATGGGAATTGCATTAAACATGTAGATTACTTTTGGGAGTATAGACATTTTTACTATGTTGATTCTACCAATCCATGAGCATGGGAGATCTCTCCACTTTCTATAGTCTTCCTCAATCTCTTCTTCAGAAGTTATAGTTTTCCTTGTAGAGGTTTTTCACATCTTTGTTAGGTTTACACTAGGTATTTTTTTTTTGAGGCTATTGTAAATGGAATTGTTTTCATATATTCTTTCAGTTTGCTCATTATTGGTGTATAGAAATGCTAATGATTTCTCTATGTTGATTTTATATCCTGCTACCTTGCTATAGCTATTGATGATGTGTAGGAGCTTTTGAGTAGAGTTTTTTGAGTCTTTAAGGTATAGGATCATATCGTCTGCAAATAGGGATATTTGACAGCTTCTTTACCTATTTGTCTTCCTTTTATTCCTTCTTCTTGCCTAATTGCTCTGGCTAGGAATTCCAGTACTATGTTGAATAGAAGTGGGGATAGTGGGCATCCTTGTCTGGTTCCTGATTTTAGAGGGAATGGTTTCAGTTTTTCTCCATTAAGTATAATGCTGGCTGTAGGTTTGTCATATATAGCTTTTATAATGTTGAGGTACTTTCCTTCTATTTTTTAGAGCTTTTATCATGAAATGGTGTTGGATCTTATCAAAGACTTTTTCTGCATCTGTTGAGATGATCAAGTGGTTTTTGTCTTTGCTTCTGTTAATGTGGTTTATTACGTTTATTGATTTTCGTATGTTGAACAACCCCTGCATTCCTGGGATGAAGCCTACTTGGTCATGGTGAGTGATCTTTTTGATGTTGTTGTATTCATTTTGCCATTATTTTATTGAGGATTTTTGTTCATTAAGGAGATTGGCCTGTAGTTCTCCTTTTTGGAGGTGTCTTTGCCTGGTTTTGGGATAAGTGTAATACTGGTTTCATAAAATGTGTTAGACAGTTTTCCTTCCCTTTCTATTTCGTGGAACAGTTTAAGGAGGGTTGGTATCAGTTCTTCTTTAAAGGTCTGATAGAATTCAGCAGAGAATCCATCAGGTCCTGGACTTTTCTTTTGCGGGAGACTCTTGATTGCAGCTTCAATTTCATTTTGTGTTATAGATCTATTCATGTGATTAATACCCTCTTGGTTCAGTTTTGGATGATCATATGTATCTAGAAATATGTCCATTTATTTAAGATTTTTGAATTTATTTGAATATATGTTCTTACAGTAGCCTCTGATGATTTCCTGGACTTCCATGGTGTTTGTTGTTACCTCCCCTTTTGCATTCCTGATTCTGCTAATTTGGGGTTTTTCTCTCCTCATTTTAGTAAGGTTTGCCAGGGGTCTGCCAATCTTGTTTATTTTTTCAAAGAACCAACTTTTTGTTTCATTAATTCTTTGTATGGTTTTTTTGGTTTCTATTTCATTGATTTCAGCTCTTATTTTTATTATTTCTCTCCTTCTATTTGTT